TGTTGACAGGAGAATTAATGGAGTGACAAATGGTAGTGAGTCTCCTTAAAAGATTCCCCTCTTAATGTTAATCTCTTCCAGTCTATCACAATTGACCAACAACTATGTCTCCCATTGTGCCATGGATCTTTGCACAAAGCTTTCGAAGGGCTCCTCTTATTTCTAGTCACTTGATTATCCAATCGTGGCAGGGAGTCAAATGCCTTCAGATGCTCCATGTAAAGGAGGTGGGATAGCCTGGCAGAAGTTTTTGATGTTTCATAGCCATGGCTTGACTTGTTCAGTAGCCATGCTACATTAAACTTGGTCTACCTTCTCTTGCAGTTTTACAGAATCATCTTGTCAATTAAGAACTGATCTTTTGTTCCTCTGCTATTTGGGAGATTTCCTTTTTGCTCAGGTGGAAAGAGCTTCTTTTCAATTAGATTATGGATAGCTTTTTGCCTGGGCCACACTGAGTGAAGGGGAATTATCTTGGGCCTCATATAATATATATAATATAGTTAATGTACATAATTAATGTTAAGAGTTTATGATCTTGTGTGATGGCATTACTAGCTATCCATGGCCTCATGCAGCCCATGGGCCGTGGGTTGGACACCCCTGAACTAGATGGTGTCTAGTCTATGTATCAGCTATCATATCAATTAAAAATTTTAAAGTTTTTGGTAAGTGGCCTATAGTTGCCCAGTGCTGTCCTTTTGTTAAATCTTTCATTGTCAAGTAGGTTTCGCCAGATGTTAACCAATCTTCAATTTCATCTCCTTGCAATATGTTGTTACATTATTATTACTATTAGGATTATTCAAGGCTATAGTATTTTTGTTGTTTTATAATCCTTTTAGTTGACAAGTAATTTTACTCAGTTATTTGATTTAATAAGCAGTATGAAAAGTTCTTAGGTTATATACAAAATCATATTAGCTTTGCAAATTATTTCCTTAATTGGCCACATGAAATGAACATTTTTTTGAATAAATAAAATGTTGCCAACTAATAAATCACCCAAAATTACATAATTTTTATCTTTTACCTGTTTTAAGTGGATGCAGCACGGCAAAGCTAACCTAACGGTTGTTTCATTTTATTCTTGTGTGTTAGTATTAGTTAAGTTTAAAACTGTGTTTCTTGGCAAATGAGAAAAGAATTCTGAAGTATTAAGACACCCACTTTTCTGCTAGAATTTAATATGCAACTTTTTATTGGAAAATAATCGTCCTTGTCTGGCAAAATTCACCATGCAATATTTCTGTTAGTAGACATAATGTAATAAAGGCAGGGAGGGCTATTTATCACAACAAATTTTGAGGATTTCAGGATTCTTTTTATTATTTTAATATATTTCTTTGGTATTAAATCAGAAAAATGATAAATTACACCTGTCGAGGTTGCTTTTCCTTTTTGCTGGAAAATGATGAACAACCCAATTTTGCTGGTCATTTTGGCTTTTACCAGTACACACTTTTTTCCTCTTAAAAATTTATTGGCTCAGCTTTTAAAGAATAATACTGAAGTACTTTTTATTTCTTACATATGAAGTGTTTATAAATACTTCTGGTATTGCAGACGGTGACCTTTATAACATTGCATTAGTTTATCAGAACAACTCTGGCTGTAGTGCTCGCTTAACACAAGCATGCTTCATTCTGATGGGGATTATGCCAGTGTGGTAGGTTGAAGACTAAGCTCCCATTAGGTATATAACATTTTGTGAGAAGCACTGGAATTATTTGGGCCATCACATTCCATTGACTCATTTTCAAAACACAGAGTACATTAAATTGCGGTTAATTTAAGAGGCTAAAAAATAATTAATTTATTTTTAAATGCCTTCTCATTGTTTAATTCATTCATATGTATATAACGTCCTTTCGGTAACAATTGCCATGTATTTCTTGGGATTGTTGCTTTTATTATGTATGAGGATTATTTATTGCTACGGGGGTTATGTAACACTTTAAAAATAATTTTAGAAAGGATAAAAGACATGAAAGGGGAGAAATGTTAAGCAACACGAGGCAACAAATGATTTGTGTTGCTGTCTTCTTTTGTATTATTTTAACACTTTTTTCCAGGCTTGCATATTTAGAGATATATTAGCCCAATTTGATTTTAAGGCTCGGTTATTTGAATTATAAATCATTACGTCCCTTCTAGCTTGATCAGTCATGGAATAGCTTTGAATTCATTTACATAATGGAATGTGTTAGTGTTTCTTTTACGATGGTGCAGCAGTGCTGCTTTCATGTATTCTCTTTTGTTTCTAATAATTAACTTTATCATAATGTTTCCTGTAACTGGGTGTGTCTACTTGTGTGTGTCTACTGCTTTTGTTTGTTTTTGTGAAGTTACTGCATACAAATTGACTCTTACAATTTGAAGTTTCCACTTCCTCGTGTTTGGATTGACTGAAACTTTTCTTTAGATTTAAGAAATGTAGAGTTCTCAACCTGAAATGTTTGGTTTGGGTTGGTAATATTTGCATTAATAATTGAAAAAATCGGGGGGAAAATTAAAATGCACATTTTAAAATCTTATCCGTTACCGAAAAGGAAGGCAGCTTACTTAAAACTTGGGTTATTGAGCAATGAACCATGCAGTGGTCTGAACCTGGCTTCCCCAATCTGGTACCTCCCAGGAGGATTGAGACTATATTCCCAGAAGTCTCAGTTTTATTTGCAACCTATCTAGAAGCTACCAGCTCAAGAAGGTTGGTACTTCTTTACATACATTCATGTAAAAAAAAAAAAGGCCATTTTCCAGTATTGATTTTAAGTGTGTTGATAACTATCATGAGTTTATGATCATGAAATCTAACCAGTCGGTTTTGTTTAAACATGCTACATGCTTATGACATGAATTATTGCCATTATTTAACTAGTATTAAAAGTAAATTTCTAAATTTGAGGACAGATAAGCTGTATGCAGGTGAAACCTCAAAGATGTGGATGTGTACTTGAGATAAAAGGAAATATAGGTATTTTTATATTTTCACTTTGATTTAAATAATTTCTAGATTGCCAGTAAAAAAAAATCAGTAAAGATCAATTTACTGCTACAATTTCAATTCTATTCCTACATCCTGGATACTGTAATGGTTGGTTTACAGACGGATGATAATTCAGAACTCAGTGTTATATACCTACAAACTCCTCTGTTATCAGTAAAAAGAAATCCCTCCCTTCTTGTGCACACACACATACAAAATGAGAAAGCTCTGCCCTAAGGAGGATAGGACAGGAATAATTCAGTTGCTGAAATTCTTGTAACCCTCTGCCTTTCATCGCAATACTTTTTTTAAGGAAGATTCTAAGAATCTTAGTTCATAGAATCATAGGGCTGGAAGGGATCTTGGTGGTCTTCTAGTCCAACCTTCCCAAGACAAGAGTGCTTATTCCATCCCAGACAAATGATTGTCCAATCTTTTCTTGAAAACCTTCAGCAATGGAGGGCTCACAATTCTGGGAGGAAAGCTGTTCCATTGACTAATTGTTCTCACTGTTAGGACATTTCTCTTAAGTTCTAGATTGGATCTCCCTCCGACTAGTTTCCATCCATTGTGCCTTATCCTGCCCTCAGGTGCTTTGGAGAATAAATCAATCCCATCTTTCCTGTGACATTCCTTCAAATATTGGAAAATGGCTATCATGTCACCCTTAAGGCTTCTCTTCATTAGACTAAAGTTATTAGTTCCCTTAGTTGTTCATCATATGGCTTAGCCTCCAAACCCCTTATCATCTTTGTTGTACTTCTCTGCACTCTTTCTAGGTCTCACTATCTTTGTATTGTGGTGACCAAAACTGGACACAATATTCCAAGTGTGGCTTTACTAGTGCAGTCTAGAGAAGTACTATCACTTCTTGTGATCTTGATGCTTTCCCTTTGTTGATGCAGCCTAGGACTGCATTGGCTTTTTGGCAGCTGCAGCATACTGCTGGCTTATACTTAAGTGATGATACACCAGGACGTCTAGATCCCTCTCACAGGTTCTACTATTTATTTATTTATTTATTTATTTATTTATTTATTTATTTATTTATTTAAATTTATATACCGCCCTATCTCCCTTACGGGACTCAGGGCGGTGAACAGGCAATAATAAAAATCACAATAAATATTAAATTAAAAGCCTGCTCTGAAATACCCCATATAAAAACCCCTACCAAAACACAATCAAAACTACGCCAGGCCGGCCGCATGGAATAGATGGGTTTTCAAAGCTCGGCGGAAGAGGCGCAGGTCCATAGTTGCTATTGAGCCAGGTACTGCCTATTCTGTATCTTGTTTGGTTTTTCCTGCATAAGAGCAGAACTTTATTTTTCTCATCAATTAACTGCATCTTATTGAATAGGGCCCAGTGCTCAAGTCTGTCAAGATTCTCCTGAATCTTGAGTCTGTCTTCCAAAGTGTAAGCAGTTCCCTGCAGCTTAGTATCATTTGCAAATTTGATCAGCGCTTGGCAAGTTACATTGTCCAAAAAATACTTTGTCCAAAATTAATTCTTCAAAGTAAGATTTTCAGTTTTTAAGATTCTTAATGTTTATTAGTTTGGATAATAAGTTTTGAACTATTTCCCAGTAATGATGCCAACTGTGATAAATTGATAAAGGCACCCTCAAATTGAGTTTGATTCTTAGTGACTATAGGAAAGTTCAAATAGTTTATTTTTTTCAACAATCTAGAAATGGATTTGCCTTCTCCAAAATGAATGTATATTTGCTTTTTAATTTTCAAAGGCCATGGAAGATTAAATCCATCCCACTTTTCCCATTGTTATATATTTCCCATTGGTTTCCTAAAAAAAAAATATATACATGTGTGCATGTGCGCTCATCTATATGCAATTATATACTATATACTGTATATACATACATACATATATACATATATGTTGTTAACTCTTGTTTGTTGTTGTCTGTCAGTTAGAATTTTAAATGATGTGTGTGGTATTAACCAATTAATTTGACTGTGTTATTTTCCTTAACGAGAAATACTTATATCCTTTTAAAAAAGCTTGTGAAAATAGATGCTGTGAAGTTCATGCTACAAAATCATATGGTAGGCCTTTTTAGTTTGTTTTAATATTTTTTTAAATTGCTAATTTTAAATTGTGAATAAATTTATTTTGTTATTTGTTCTTTACTACCAGAGTAAACACTTTCCATTCTTGGGTGTCAATGATAATTATGGTTTGACCGATCTTAGATGCAGAACAACCTTCTATACTGCTCTTACACGTCTCCTCATGGTAGATTTGGGTAAGAATGTGTTCATCTTTTTTTCTTCTGCTATTGCACAGATTTCTTTACAGTGTTCTTAATAATTAATTCTTAGCACCAGTGCTATTTTTTTCAGCCAAAATAAAGCCATGCTAGATAATTCTGAAAATGTTATGTTGGAATCTAGTAACTTAGATTACATATAAAGAAGGCAAATTTTGAGGTTTGCATTCATAAAGGGTAAAGTATTGAGTCCTAAAGCATGTTTCAGGATATGCAAATGCATCTTCTTTATGCAGCTTATCTCAATACACTTATCTCTTTGTAACTTTCACTGTACATTCTCTGCTTACGTTATTCAGAACCTTCTAGAGCTACATTTTGTATTTGTCACTCTCCAATCTCATCACTTTGAAAAAAGAATTAATTAAAATTCTAGATAAACCCAATCTAACCACAAATCTTCATAGATAAATTCTAGAATTTTGGAAAATAATTTAATATCACAGTTACATCTTTGATTTTAAATTTTTACCAAGAATTTGGTCCAATATTGTATTAATCTCTAATTAGATTCTTCCAATTTCTTAAGTTTTTTTTTTCCCAACCACCACAGCAGTTACACATTTGGAACCTTTATCTTTAATCTGTGACTCCTTAATATATTTTAAATAGACTCATAGTGTTATTTCTTTCTTTCTTTCTTTTTTTCCGTAAGTGGGCTAAAGATTATATGGCTATAAAAGCTGCATTTTTAAAGTACCAACAGTATGGAAATAAACATTTTCCTCTGGTGGGTACTCTATGTATCTCATACAAAATAAATAAATAATAACAAATCTGATCTTGGAGAAATGACATGTAGTTAAGTCATACCTTCACTACCAAGCACTACCCTAAACAGGAGAGTAAGGATAGTCTTCCCACTTGTGAATTCTCTGGGAAAAAAGCATTAAGACTGTTCAATTTTGAAACTTGCAGTGCACAATAGCCAAAGAGACTTTATAGCCTATCTGCAAATGTAAGATATTGAAATAGTTGTTGATGACTACAATCATGTTTTTCCTACTTAGCAGATTGTAAACACGGTCTCATTACTGGCAAGCCAAATACCTTAATACTCTGGGTTGGGTATTCTAAATTTAGAAGTGATCAAAATAACTCAGTGAGTGAGTTGAGAAAGTGAAAAATGTTTTAGCATTGTAACCCTGATCCCTTCCTCCAATTTTCTCCTCCCATTTCATTTCAGCGGAATCTCACCTTACTTTGAACAGTCCTGGTCAATCTCCATGTGATTCTCTAAAACTAGCTCTGCAGGGAATACCATGTCACTCAATGAAGGGGCGTATCTAGAATTTCTGAGTCCATATTAATTTTATCAGACATGATGATGCCACAGTAATTGGACTGTTTGTATCAAGAACTGTTGATAGTACAGTGAAGCTGTGTATTTTGTTTGCCTGGAGGACTCCGTTTCTCAGCCTGTTGCCACTATCTTCCTACTTAGTGGAATCCTGTCAAAAATAACTATAATAACCATAACCATAACCAGACTAATTGTATACAGATAGTCTCCTGATGACCATGTCAGCCTTGGTTTTCTCTCTGCCATTTGTCAAAATAATAGATACTTCTCACAGGATGCTTAGGTCTGGATCTTTATGGGGGCAAAAATGATCCCTCATTATTCAGTCTAACAATGCGGAACATTCTTATATGGTTCTCCCTGCATTCAAGCCCAGGAGACACTTATAACTGCAAAATGAAAACAACACTGTAGTGAGCAAAACTTATTCTTGAAAATGAAAGGTATTTGAAATATTTGCAACCAAAAATCAACTGACCACATCTACTGTCTGATATACTACTTGCTTTCTACTGTTGAGAAATATTTGACTTCTCATCCCTAATGGTTCATCACCTTCTAATGGATGAGATACTGTGTCCCATCTCCCACCTCCAGCAGTTTAATTAAATGCTTCCTAAAATGTTTGAACCTTTAACAGCTTGTTAAAGTAGGCAAAGATATTGTGCCAGTAGCACTTTGGTAACATATTGAGTATCACTATGAATCCAGTGATCTACCTTCATGTGACGTCCATTATAAATTGGAATGCTTGATAAGGAGAGCAGATCCATTATGGCTTGGAAGTTTGGCTAAGCCTCTGGACAGATCATAGTTCAAACCTGTGTTTTAATCCATGCAGAGAATAGCCAAACCTGGCTGTTCCTTGCACAAACCCTTTTGAACATTTCTACCACTATGTATATGTGAATTATAGAGACAATGTGAATTATAGAGGATCAGAGTATTTATTTGTAATTGATTTCCTGAATCAGTGAATTCAAGCATCACATACACTGTAATAGTATCTGGGTCCAAATACGTATGTACAGAGAGATAAGAGTAGAACATCTGGATGTTAACATTATGTTCCTGCTTCTTGCTTTTGGGGTAGCAGCTTAATCATTTATGCTGTCATCACCTGTCCTGCAGGCTGTCTCACTTTGTATCTATCCCCTAATTCTTTTTTTATTAGTTTTATTCATTTATAACATAAAATGTGAAAATACAAAAGCAAATAGTAGGGGACGACAGTAGAGAAAAGGAAAACAAAAAAGATGTGAAGAAAGGGAGGGGAAGAAACAAAAGGCATTGACTTCCGACTCCCTCTGTTGCAGTAAATTCAGACATTAAAATCTAACTTTTACATTTCTATAGTAGTATGCACTAGCCATTTTTGTATCGGCAAATCAGTAAAACCCAAAATCATAATATCATTTTTTCTACCTCAAGCACAAAGTCCAGAAGCAGTCCCTAAGTAGAAACAAAAGTACTTATGTTCTTTTCTTTTATCAGTACAGTCAATTTGGCCATGTCTGCTAATTCTATCAGCTTTTGTAACCATTCATCCATGGTAGGAATCGAGGCATCCTTCCACTTTTTTGCATTAGACCCAGAAGGAAAGTTTCTGGTTTAATCTTTATGTTCACTTTAAGAATTTTCTGCATTAATATATGAATCCTACTCCAATATTTCTTTGCCTTATCACATGTCCACCATAAATGATAAAAATGCAAAAAGAGCCGCAATATGTCGCGACACGTGACGTGGCGAGTTTGACACCCGTGATTTAAAACTTCCATCACCAAAATAAACAACACGAGAGACAAGGGGCATCCTTGTCTTGTACCCTTTTGAATGTCACATGGATCAGTTAAATTACCATTAATAACAATTTTTGCTTGCTGTGACGTGTAAATAGCTTTAACTCCTTGAATAAAGCTCTCTCCAAAGTCCATTTCTTCCAAGACTTTAAACATAAAAGTCCAATTTAAATTGTCAAAGGCCTTCTCTGCATCTAGGAATATTAAAGCTGCCTGTTTCTCATTGTGGTATTGTAAATATTCAGTGATATTCAGAACAGTCCTCGCATTATCCCTTAACTGTCTTTTTGGCAGAAAACCAGATTGGTTTAGATACCTGTAAAATAGATACCTGTAAAATCTTCTTTAGTCTTTCTGTCAGAATTGCAACAAAGAGTTTATAGTCATTGTGTTTATAGTATAGTGAAATTGGTCTATAATTCTTTGTCTTTGTAGGATCTTGGCCCTCCTTCGGTAATAACACGGTATTGGCTTCCTTCCATGTTTGGGTATCCTTCCCTCCTGAAATATATCATTCATTATGTCCTTTAGTGGCTGTAGAAGTTCCTCCTCAAAGCACTTACAGTATTGACTTGTAAGGCCATCTGATCCTGGAGCTTTACCTAGTTTCATTTTTTTAATAGTTTCTGATATTTCGAAGACTGTTATTGGGTCATTCTTAAGTTGCCTCTAGGATTGTGATAATTTAGGTCAGCGGTTCTCAACCTATGGGTCGCGACCCCATTTGGGATCGATCGACCATTTCACGGGGGTCGCCAAACAAGGCTGTCTGCCATTTTTTTCCCCTTTTCCGGCGGGTGCCTTACCTCGGGCTGGGCCAGCTGTGGTCGGCCTGCTCCGTCTCTGCCGCTTGCCAGCTACGCCTCGGCCGGCGCAGGGGGTGGAACCACGCATGCGCGGCGCTCCCGGGCAGGGAAAGTCCTCAACTTATGACCGGTTGGGTAGTCCTTGACTTACGACCGGTTTAGTCCTCGACTTACGACCGGTTTAGTCCTCGACTTACGACCGGTTGGGGGTCGCGGCATTAAAAAGGTTGAGAACCACTGATTTAGGTAACCTTTGTTTTAAAAGACATTTGTCTATTTTAGACCTATCCAACTCCTGCTTTTTATACAAGTTAGAATAAAAATTATGAAAAGTCTTTTTAACGAGTTCATTGTCAGTTATTACCTTATCCCCTTCACAAATTTTCTCAAACATTCGCTTTTCCCCTTTCCTTCCTTAATTTATATGCCAACCATCTCCCTGGTTTATTTGCAAATTCAAAATGTCTTTGTTTCACATACTTCATTTTTGTTTCTGTTTCTTGAACTGTTAACATAGACAATTGTTGCCTTAACAGTTTAATTTGATGTGAAATTTTTACATCCGTAGGTGTCTTTTGCAACTCAGTTTTTTTCTGTCTAATCTCATCTAATATTTTTTCCATCTTTTCCAGGGATTTCTTCTTCTCTGAACAATTATACTGTATGAAATAACCCCTCATACTGTAACAGTCTTACTTGCATCCCACACAGTTGTTAAAGCTGTTTCTCTACCTACATTATTATCAAAATATTCTTTTAATTTTACTTTCGTCTTCTCTATGTAATCTGCTTGTCACAAGCCAGTTGTGAAGCACATAGGTGAACATGAGACCTAAAGCACATAAATGGTGATCATGTGATCGTGGGGCACTGCAATGATCGTAAATGTATGCTGGTTGGGAAACACCCAAATGGTGATGTTGGTATATGCTATGACAGTCATAAATGTAAGGATTGATCAGAAAACTTTTTTTAAGAAAAACCTGTAGTAGTTTAGTGTGGCTATTAAGTGAACAGGGCAAATAAAATCCCATGATTGCCGGTCTTTTCAAAAATTGTATTTGTGTGTAGCTTTCTAAACTCTGTGCGTCTATAATACATCTGTATCAATGCAGTTTAGATCAGAATGGTTTGTGTGTATGTGTGTTCTGAATTTCTTGTTCTTAGTTCATTGTTACTTAGTTCATTATTTCAAAATTTCATTATTTCATTATTTCAAAATTATTAAAGTTTCATTGATCACCAAAAGCGACAGACTATTAAATTGACAGAAATTCAAAAGATGTAGCAATAGTACCATTTTATATCTGAATGCAAAAAAATTACTCTGAAAACTAAGTAGCTTGTGTACTCCTGCTATATAGATATGAACACCCTTCCCTGAGATCTGGGGGTGATCCTATTCTTCTAGCCTTCCAAAAAACCATGAACATCTGGCTTTTTGTAAAGCATTGGGGTAGTGTGAAGCTGGAGCCCAGAAAGTGTGTAGTGGAGATGTGTGGGGATCTGTGACAGTTGGCGGTATGGATGTTTTGCCTTTTTTGTTTTTATTTTATTTCATTGTGAGCTGCCCAGGATCATGTTGCGTAAGATAGGCAGCTTTATAACTCTCTTAAATAAAAAAATATATAAATGATGTCCTATGACACCACCGTTACAATATGAAATGCTTTGTTTGTTTGTTTGATTCTTGTCATTCCACTCCTGCTATTCCCCATTTCTTTTTTTCTTTCTCTCTCCAAGAGTTGCTCTATTTTCCATGCCCATTTTTATTACAGTATTTCTTATCCTAATTAATTCTTATTTTGGAGGGGATAGTGTATGTTTTCCAGAGGTGCTATATTAACAATGTTTGACATATTAGTGATTTTTGTGGGCAACATGAAGAGGGCAGCTCAGATTCATAATGAGAACAAAAAGGACATTATCCAGGCAAAATGACAGTTCTTTCTAGACTACACAGATTAATGTTCCTTTCCCAACTTTCCCACTTTCCTTCTGCTCCCCCACCTCTTATTGAGGAATCTCAATATTACATACTCTTGAATTCTTAGGGGACTATTTTGAACATCACTTTCCTTAGCGATTTTTCCCTAAAGAATGTTGAGCACCAGTGAAACCTCTTAACTATAGGGTGTTCATATTTTCTTTGAATCATATATGCTATAGTTTCAGCTACATTAGCTTGACATGAATTGGCAATGGAGAGTATGCTAGCCAGTAGAGTTAACTGAAGAAATGTTCCCAGTGTAAAAGAAGACATAGCTCCGTTTACGCATTTACTAAATATTACCATGGATGTGATACGTAGCTTCACAATTCCCTTTAACTATGACCCTTGTGTTGGCAGAGGTGGCCTGTAAAAAAAAAAAAAGCATATTCATTTAAATGCAGGTGGTGTTTCAAAATTCCAGAAGGCCAAACACCTGAGTAGGATTCAGATGAATTCCTAAAATAAAAGAACAAAGGAGAATAGCAACAGGCTGTGAAATAATTGCTAGCAACTGCTTGCTCAGTCCACGTGTTTACTAAAAGAAGTCATCCAGATTAGCTTTGCATAACCCAAAGTTTTTGTTTTATTCGTATAACAGCGACTATGTCAAATTCTTTAATAATATTCGTGTTTATAGTTGTGTCCTCTCCCCTCCTTTTCTTGCAGGAGAAGATGAGGATGAGTTTGAAAACTTCATGCTTCCCCTGACAGTTTCATTTGAAACCTTAGCCCAGATATTTAACAATAGCTTTAAGCAAGAGGAAGCAAAGGTAGGTTACTGTGAATAGAAGGAGAAATCTTGCTCATCATAGTAAATAGTGGTTTTAAATATGTAAAATTAATCACATTTAAATCCTATTGAATTCAGTGGAAGTGAGTTATGAATAATTCTATTCTCTGTTTGAAGTCCATATGATCAGCTTTGGCTACATGGTTGAATTTTTCTTATCCTTGCATGTATGGAATGCTGTCTTTTAAAAGCAGATATTCCATAAATAAATTCTGTAACTGCTGGACTTTCAAGTGTGATCCTACACTTCCCATGGAAATGGGAAAGTATGAAATCTGCATCATTAAGAGCCTTGCAAAGCATTGACAGGGCACAACAGTAAATCAAGAGAGCAGTGGCTTCTTTTCCTTTACTTACCGTGCCTCTGACTCTCATCTTGACTTGACACATGCCCTGTAGCTTGGTCTGTGTTCCTCAAGACAAGTTGTTACGTGACTGAAGGGGCCACAACAAATGTAACTAATTACTAGCCTGTGTTGATTGCCCAAAGAGAAGAGTAAAGGCTTTGCCATCCTGTGGGGAGAATAGGATTCCATTAGGGATTTTTCCCCCTCAAGAACTTTATTCATAAAAAGATGAAATTAAACATGGCACTGCACATGAAAATATCACCACAAAGAGCTCCATTCTCTCCTTTAGATTTAATAAGAGACATATATGACATTATGCCACTTATTTAGTCCCTTCCCTTCCTTTTTAGCAACAAGTAGACAAGGTTTAAAGCATGATGTCGCATTATAGTTTCCCTTACTAAATAGGAGCCAGACATATGACTGGTGTTTTTAGTTGTAGTCCTGTAGTCTACACTGTATTTAGTTCTCCCTGCTGGTTACTGCTTTTGAACAAGATCTAAAATAAATGTTTAGCATCCTTTCCTTGTGTAATTTTGTCTCTTGCATATTAAATACTTGTGAGCTTGTGTGCTTGTCTGTCTGTTTAATTTACATATTACAGCTGGGTGTGAGTAGATTTATAGAGGACCAGACATACACAAGCTTAAAACATGTGTATGCTTAGAACATCTCTTCTAAACAGGAATTTAATATATAAATCAAGAGTTTATTAAATGGCTGGGCATATATGTATAAATAGGAACTGGTCTTGAAGTATTACATTCTTAAACCCAACAAAGTGATTAGGATAACTGATAGCTAAATAAGGTTTTTATGTGCCTGTGGGAGCCATATTAGGATTGATTTGACAAGTCAGTTCAGCTGTGGCAACAGTCATATTATCTAGCACAACATTATGTTTTATTAGTAAAATCCTTAAGTGTAGCAAGCTGTTTGTGTCAAAACAACAGTATATTTTAAGGGGAGAAAAGACTTGCTAAGTGGAAGCTGTATTATCAGGAACAAAACACATTAGCATAACATTACATTAAATAAATTGCATTCTTGTATTATGAACAAACAGTTAACCATGCACTCTAGAGTGGCTATTTCAGATATGTTGTGTAATATTCCTAGAAGCTCTATCAGTATTTTTTTCTTTAGCATTTTAAAGTGTGATGGGAGACTCACTAGCATCATTACTATTTCTCCTTCTCTGATGCATTTCAAGGAACATAAGCCCCAATTCAGAAAGCTATGTATTAATTCCATAGATTCAAAAAAATTCTGAGCTACTTGTTCAAAGAGTTCTCCACTCCACTTTGCTAGCTGTAGGAAATTTAGGGGAAGTTAAAAAAGGGTTCAGGGACAGAACCAAGACACTTTGGTGCTTGAGAAGGAGAACAAGAAGACACCACTGCCATTCCCTTATTATATAGAAGCTGCCATACAGAAGCAGTTGAATCTCAGTTCAGTGTTTGTAAGGGGCGCAAGTTAGCTTGTATAGGTGAAAAGGAAAATAGGATATCTTTCCTTCCAAAAATAACAGCCATGAAGTTCTAGAAAAAATAGTCACTGGAGAGGTTGCTATTGCTGCTGCTGCTACTACTATTACTACCACTACTACTAGACTACTACAAATAATATTGCAGCATCTTTTGACTGAAGCATCTATCTTACTTTGCAGAATAATAAGGCATGGTATCAAACGCATCTAGTGAACTTATGGACATACTACTGGAAAAAAGCTGAAAACTTACTTGATTTGATTTGATTTATATAGCTACACAAGTTTAAAAAAATGCTGCTCCAGACAGCATACACCCATACAAACAGAATTTTAAGTTTATTTTATTTTCATTTATATGTATCCCATTATTATTATTATTATTACAAATAACTAAAGGTGGCGAATATATCCAACTTTCTTCCTCCTGTTTTGCCCACAACAATAACCCTGTGAGGTGCGGTGGGCAGAGAGTGAGTGACTGACCTATAGTCACCCAGCTGGCTTTTATGGCCAAAACGACATGAACTCAGGGTCTCTGGTTTTTCGGGCCTGGTGCCTTAATCACTAGACCAAATTGGCTCTCTTACAATCAAAATTGTTCTGGGCCCAGTGCTCTGTTCTGGGCCCAGTGGTCTTCAACATCTTCATCAACGATTTGGACAAGGGGATAGATGGGGAAATCATCAAATTTGCAGACGACACCAAGCTGGCAGGAATAGCCAACACTCCAGAAGACAGGCTTAGGATACAGGAGGATCTGGACAGACTTGAACACTGGGCGCTATCTAACAAAATGAAATTCAATGGTGAAAAAAGTAAGGTTCTACATTT